ATTCTCAGCTTCCGAGGAAGCATACAGTGCAAGCAGCGGATTTCACGCGCTCAAACACTATCAAACTGACAAGATCTTTCTCTGTCTATAGCTGGGTACCCATTTCCACCTGGGTGAAGTGAGGGAAATTTGTGCAAAGTGCCTTTCCCAAAGACACAACGTCGGGCCCCTGACGGGATTCGAACCCACGACCTTACGGTTGCGAGTCTGAGAGCCTATGCTCTTGCGAGTGCCGCAAAAAACTAATGACATTTTTTTTTTAATACCCTGTCTTTAGAATAGAAGTATGGTATGTGCAACCTCCATTTTGTGTGTGTGTGACTTGAAAGCAAGGATTTTAATGTCAATATACTTTAGGAAAGCCTTAAAGAGGCCCAACCCACCCCCAATTTAAAAAAATAAATAGAACACCAAAAACACAGATGTACACAAGAACCTCTCAAACAAAGAAAACCCTCTTACAACAATAAATAACAACAGCAATACAACACAAATAAGCCAAACCCAGACAGGAAAAAAAATATTTTTTAAAATCCCCAAACCAACGAACCAAAGCCTCACAGAGACGAAAGAATGGCATCACAAATTCAAGTAAACTGTTTCAAAGAATCTTTATTGCTTGCAGAGGATTCTTCATTTGAGAAACAGAAGGGAAAACGTACAAGAAAAAAACAATAAATAGCAAATCGCCACATTTGCCAAAAAACCAAACCAGTGTAAGAAAATAACCGGTAGACCACTCAGAATCACTTAAAGAAACATTTCAAACCAACTTTGGATCGTCTTCTAAGATCTCAATAATCCGGATAATTAATCAACAGCTCCGGATAATACTAGATCTAGTCTTATTAACCGGTTTCAAAAAATGATAGAGCTGAGCATCCGTGGGCCAACTACAAATGTAGATACAAAAAGTGTCTACTGCTGCTGGCAGAACTTGAACCTGGGTAACCGGTTCGGATAATCGGCGATTCGGCGTTTGTGTGAGTGGCTCTGCAGCACACTCTTAGTGGTACGGCTGGCGATCGTGTGAAATAAGCTGTTGTGATGTCTTATACTGGTCCCGTCTTTGCTCGTAGCTTGATCGTCTGGTTCTGCGAATGTAGATGAACTTACGGGTCACCTCTTGGTACGGGTGGGTGGCGCCTGGAGAGGGAGCAAAGGGAAAAATCAGTGAATGAATGAGTGAATGAATGAGTGAATGAATGAGTGAATGAATGAGTGAATGAATGGAAATAAACCTTTAAAAAAACGTAAAAAATAAATTAAAAGTTTGTGAGTGAGTGAGAGAGTGTGTGTGTGTGTGTGTGTGTGTGTGTGTGTGTGTGT